AAAAAAAAAAAAAAAAAAAACAAAAATGCATTTTGGATCAGATGAAAGATTTTTAACATTAGTGGATATATTCTGTAGTACATTCAACTGGATTGGAAGAGAATTGAAATGCCAAGTTCTTGAGTCTAAAAGGAAAACTAAATGATATACGTAGGATCTCTGAAAATGTCACAAAGAACGAATCCAATGATATATAAATTTTATTGCGAACTGATACAACGATGACGATGGACCTGATCAGTCTAGGCCACGACTACATTTTATCTTTCAATCTCTGGGAAAATATACTGTCAGACACAACTCCGGCCTACAGTGAACGATAATTTTTTGAAACAATTTCATACTTGATAATTCTTTCATTTTAGTTAGTACGGGTGACGAAAATATCGCTTCGATGTAATATACAAAGTTTCCTTTTTCTCTTTTTCTATTTTTTCTTTTTTTTTTTAATGACATGAAGTGAAGAGGAAAACATGTACGTACACATAAACGTATATTTGCATTGAGGTACGTCAACAAAGTATCGCTCGTCTGCACCTGATACTCGATCATATCTCGCGCTAACAATTAAATGTCCCCGCGAGGGCACAACGTACTCGTAAAATCTGTCCCGATACACCATCTTTAATCGTTTCAACAATGACTAAATTACAATATGCCCATACAACTATTTATCACCGCCTCGCTTGTCTTTTAATTCCGATTACGTTTTGTCCGATGATTGATTTATAACATATACATATATATATATATGTATATGTACTGTTCCTTGTTAACATCTTTAACTACAACTGGAACAATCTTTATATCTTGCATCATTTTTCTTTTTTCTTTAAATAATTCTTTCGGCGTTTCAGAATAGATAAATAGCATGGATAAATAGCATTATTTCTCCGGATTTGTGTGAAAGATTCATGAAAATATTTATGTTACACGTCTCTCTGTGATCTATTCACGCGTCGGATTACATTGGTCAGGATATACTTGAATGGAAAAGAATCAGCGGCCATGGATCCAATTCTTTGACAAAGTTTTCAATTTTTTGTTTAATTTTTTTCCCTTTCCTTTTACCATGAGTACTATATTCCCGCGATATCCGATATTTGCTCTTGCTATTTGTACCAAACGCTATTTGTATGCATTTCTTAATACTACGTGCTCTCAAAATATTAACATAACCGCATTTTCGATAGTCGTACGTTTCGAATACTATAGCTAAGCACTGGCTTAACGTCTACTTCACGATCTGATATGCGTTATCGTACTAGTTTGGTAAAAAATTAACAAACGTTAGGGCAAATAATTCTTCGTCAAATGGCTCTCGCTTTCGAAGAAACACGCTGAGCTTACCGGGCTAAGCTCGGTATCGTTAGATATTTTATTTCGTCACACGTTGATCGTGAAAACAGCACTCATCAATCGATCATTTAAAGTCGATTCTCGATAATCTTTTCACCATCGTTGAGAGATAATTACTCCGCGGGCAATGAAACGTACATCGAAAAAAGATTTCGCTCTATCTGAGATTTCTGAGACTCTCATCCTCGGTAGAAAACTATAGTAACGATTATACAAAACGCGTCTTGTTAGTCGCAGATGCTAATGGATTCCAATCGAGAGTTTTTCGCCGAGTTCGAAAGTGTTGACACTTTGTTGTGTTGAATATAAAAATGTTGGAATGCTTAAGCGTTAAATTCTCCGACAAGGAATGGACAATGTGATTAATTATCTAGCTATGTAAGACACTGCTCGTTAACGTTTCTTAATTTATATCAATCAATTGATCACAATCGTAGCTTTATAAATCAAAGGAACAAACGATTTAATCAGCTAAATGAAGCAACAAAGCACTTGACACTCTATTTCACTTTCTTACGAGTTATTTGCCTCTTCGTTTGGAACGCGTAGTACGAATTAACAATACCTTGAGATTATGGCAAATCAAATCATACGTGGCTTAAAAAACAACGATCGATCAACTTTAAAGAAAATCATGTCTCCATGGAGCGAAATAGGGAACAACAAAACCACGTGCTTGAAGTACAATTGAAAACGCTACTTCGCTATCGAAACATCACTTCATGCTCATCGTATATAACTGAATCGTTTGAAAAATCAACGTAACTGACACCAACGAAGAATCAAGAATAAATGTCAGAATAAATGAACATTTCCGGAAGGGGGGGGGGCAACGATCATTCAAACCGACACACATCGACACGTAGAGACAGAGGGGAATTCTTGACACTTGCATCATAAAATATAATATTCATCATTCAATTTATGCCCAATGTTCATCAACATCGAGACAAAAGTAGTATTCGAGCATATCGATACGTAGGTTGACATTTCGGCGCAATCGTAAACATCGATCTTTTAACAGAGAAAAAAAGTGTACATCGATAATAATCTCCTCGATTCTTATGCAAGCACTTGGACATGAGCTTTCGTGTGAACAGGCGGGCAAAAATGTATCGATCCTATGGCTTTTTTTTTTTTTTTTTTTTTTTTTTTTGCTAAATTGAAACAGCCTCGATCGAGACGAAAGAGAATCTCTGAAAATTTGTGTTAGAAGTCGTCCAAGTGGAGAAACGAGACGCGAGTGGAGGATTTCGTTGATTTGACTAAGAAGTAACACGTTGGATCCGCTTTGTGTTCGACCGAGCTGTTTATGATTCGTCTCAGCGCATCCGCAGTTACTTCGCATGGTTATCGGTATCGTTAGCATATTACGTGGATTCTTTCCAGCTGCGAGGCCAAACTTAAAACTGAAGATTCACTTAGTGTTTACATGCTGACGTGTCAGTGCTGTCATTGCAGCACCCATCTTCTTCTGTCCGCTGCATTCGTCAAACACACTTTCGCAATTTTGAAATGAAATATAAAATCGTTGATCAGCAATCATGCGCGTGTGAGGATTAGTTATCTGAAAACTCTTCGTTATCCATTTTTTAAACATATCTCTTGGATTCTGACATGGTGAAATAATTTTTCAATCTTACAAGGTTAGAAATTGACCGGCCAACGTTAGTCGGATCGGTTGTGCAATGACATACCGAGAAGAAAAGGGGCAAAAACGAATAGAAGAGACACGCGAGAAAGGAAAGACAATTCTAGAAAGTAGCCTCGCAGCCGCGCGTGCGACAATGAACAAATGACGCGACACGAGCCGCATGGCTTGCCAGAGAAACACCGGTTAGCTCGCTTTCACTTGCAAGCACCGAAGCTTGTTTGGCAAGAGGCTCCACACCGGAAGCCTCTCTGTGAGGACATGCGCGTTCAACTTGGCCGTGCCAGCCATATCCTGAAAGAAGATTCGCAAACTGCGTGATCGTAAGCTGCCCGATTTTCACGAGTATCCTCGAGCGAGTTCAAC